AATCAAGCTTTCTATTTAGTGATTCTGAAAAGATTGCCTAACAGTGGGACAAAAAAGACCTGATTTGTGTGGGGTGGGGTGGGGGGCGGGGGTGTTTCCAGCATGACAATGCACCTGCTCACACAGCCATCTCAGTGCTCCCGTTTTTGGCAAAAAAACACATGCCTCTCTTGTCCCGTGCACCTTACTCACTTGAGCTGACTCCATGCAACTTCCTTTTGTTTCAGTGAATGCAGAGAGACATGAAAGGAGGGCGATTTGACAACGTAGAAGATTGAAGAGAAAAAACGAGGGAGGTGTTATCAACCATCCAAACAGATGAGTGTGAAAAATGTTTCCAAAAATGGAATCTCAGATTGGACAAATTGGAGAGGACTTTGAAGGTGATAAGGTTGTATTTTAAAATAATAAATAAATAAATAAATAAATAAATAAAGGCATAGCTTGGGGATTGTGGCAGGGGCGGGGATCCAGTTTTGTTTTGTTGTTGTTTTTAGACAGAAGAGCTTACAAGATTGATCCAGAGCGTACCAGCAAGGTGGGGTGGCCAGGCCTGGGCTTGGCCACATGGCGGCCCAGACCTTCACAGCCAAGGCCTTGGTCCTGTCCGGAGGAGTCAGGGTGAGTGGTGGAGGTCTGGCTGCCACCGAAGACGCTCAATATGGGCAGGAACACAGGGGGAAGAGAAAGGAGTTCAGCTAGGTGTCCGGTGCTGAGTCAGGGCCCAGCGGTTGCCCAGGATGGTGGCCACCAGAGTTCCTCAGCCAGGTTGCTGAGTGGTTAGGGTGCGGCCGGAGGCTCGCCTCTGTCCCCTGCGAGCTCTGTGCCCTCCTCGCCTCTGTCCCCTGCGAGCTCTGTGCCCTCCTCGCTGCCGCTCGCCTGGGGTGTGACCTTGGTCTTTTGCCCACTAGGTCCCAGTTCCTTGATAGTCTATTCACCTTTTATTTAAAGTTGACCCTCACTCACCATCTCTGTGAGGAAGCCTCCACACACAGACATCTCAGTCCAATTTTGTCCGTGGAAGAACAGCCCTGCGTACTGGGCAGAGCAAGCTGGGAACACATGGGCCCCTGAGTGTCCGGAAATGATAAGGGGCTGGGAGAGTGTACGGTGGATTAGATACCTGAGGCCATTTTGTTCCTCCTCTCACACGGGGTGTTGAGGACAGGGGTAGCAGAGGTGTGACCACAACAGGCCGGTGGCCGGGACTGAACCTTGCCTCTGGGTTCTGCAGACTGATGCTGTCCGAGGAGATGACCAGCCTGCTGGTGGTAAACTGGTGTGGTCTTCATCGCAGACTTCCCTGGTAGGGAGGGGCGTGAGGGGCTTTTCTGCCTTGTGTCCTGGCTCCCTTGACCAGGGACCCTGTATGTGGTGGAGGAGAAGTGGGTATAGTGCACTCTTATGGCAGGGAATATGTTCACCCCACTGTAGGAGGGAGGTCAGACTGCTCCCTGCTGCTGGGGACAATGGACAGGCTCCTGGAGGTGGAGTTCTCACCCTACTGATTATGGTCTCTATCAGTTGAGCCAGGAACAAGTCAAACCAGCTCTGTGACATCCAAAGTTAAGCTGCAATCCTAATTCTAGGATCCTCCCATCTTGTCACATGTATACCCCAATCCCTCCTCTTCCTATTGTGTGTATGTCCCTAGACCACCCCTCTCATTGCTGTATAACCTATAGTGCAACCCCTTCCAGTGACGTATGTCTTTACCTGTAATTAAGGGGCTTGCATGCCCCCCAACAGATATATAGGCCTGGGTTAACAATAGAGGTCTCTCTGCTCTCTCCCCACAGTGAACCATGATGAACATAGTGGCTACCCACTCACCTCACTCCTCAGTGTCCATGGGGTGCTGGGCAGTGGGAAAGCCCAGAACCAGCTCTGGCGCATTCAGCCTGAACAGTCAGTAGCCCCACTTTACAGTTGGAGAACTGTTCAAAGTTCATTCCCAACGACATCCAGTTCATAAGGGTTGGATTGTACCCCTTCCTGATGGGACTGTCCTCTCAGCAAGGTCAGCAGCCTCCTGGTCCCATAAGATCCTTTAGATTTGACTGGTCTACACGGTAGCTCCTCACTTTGGCACACTTAATATGGGAAGATGCTGCCCCCCTCCATGGTTAGGGTACCACCTCTGAAACCCAATCCCCGTGAAAATGCTGGGCACTTTGGAAAGGGGGTTATCCAAGTGCTGGTGAAAGCTGTTCCGATTTCAGGGGCAATCAGGCTGCAGCCTTCTGAGGTGTCCCTGTCCTCTCCGAGTTACAGGGCTTGTCGATGCCAGGGTAACTGGTCAGCCAATTTTTCTCCACAAAATAAAACTGCTAACCATTATTCCTTTCCCATTTTGCCTCCACCAGGTATTTTTCATCATCTGCCATCTTAAGCCTTCATGCGTTTTCTGCAGTTCTCAGGAAGTCTGGTTTAACTGCCTGCAAACCTCCGAGGGCAGAGGGAGCCTTTCTGGTTCTCCATCATGAACTGATGGGTGCTGGTGGCACCGTGGGTGAGAAGACTAACCCAAAGTGAGTTTGAAACCTCTGCCGCTTCACAGAAATAATGAGGCAGTAAAGAATGTTCCAGAAAGCCACAGGGCAGCCCTATCTTTTCCTATAAAAGCAGTTCTCAACCTGTGGGTCATGACCTCTTTGGGGGTCAAATGGCACTTTCACAGGGGTCACCAGATTCGTAACAGTAGCAGCCACCGTTATGAGGGGGTCACAACAGGAGAAACTGTATTAGAGGGTCCCGCCATTAGGAAGGTTGAGAACCACTGTTCTGTAAGGTCTCCCCAATGACCCAGTGGCATGGGAGTTTGCAGTTTCTCGGATCAAGTAATTGAGGCAGGAGAAAGGTGGGAGGTTTGTGCTTCAATCCTCAGCCCTTCCAAGCCAGAATCAACCTGGTTTGGCGTTGGTTTGTTAGCAAAGAGCTGATTTCCCCCATTAGCTGCGTGAAATGCATCAGGTGGTGCTTGGCGCAACCTGACCCAGTGGTGGATGGTCTGTCATCAGCTACCAGGTAGATAATGACCATGCCTTCAGGTTTCTCAGGGCCTCAGATTGCCCACCTGTGCAGTTCCTTATAGCACTTGTCTAAACCAGGGTTGGCTGAGGACGTTGCACCTTAGGAAAATCTTGAAACATCAGCAGGAGCTAGGACTACTCTGTAGGCCTTGTCCTACTCCATCAGGGCCCAAACCTTCAACCAGCATGATGTAAGGTCTTAGTTCCCAAGGCTGACATGACAGTGCAGCATCCTCTAGTGGGCCGTTGGGAGTTTTAGAAATCTCCTAGGGACTGACAGTGCTCACAATGCCAATCATTGTGATCACTTCCCCCATCTGGTATCACTTCTCATTGGTCCTGAGGGCTTCATCTGGCCTGGATTCCTTGTGGCAGTGTATATTCTCTGGTCTAACTGGATATGTAAGGCAGAATTGGGTCACACAGTAGGTGGATGGGAGGCAGGGAGCATTAAAGAACTAGAAGAAAGGTATGCTTCTGACAAAACAATTTATAAATGATCAAGGGTTCATGAGGGAGGAGGAAGTGGGGAGA